TCTCTATTGTGCGGAACCTCCATGACGATGAGGACATTACCTCCACATATGCCCAAACTCCCCACACTCAAAACAACTCCCTGGTGCTGGTGACGGGGACTGAAGGGAGCCCCGAGCACTGGGATAGATGGTAGAAGGACCTGGCATAGAGAAGCCCTGAACCAATAGAGCACGGGACGAACTCTAAGCTGGAAGGGCACTGAGATATGAGTGACCCTGAAGAGAACTGTGTGAACCATGGCCAGATGATGCACCACGGTGAACTGGGCGAGCCGTCTGAGCATGCCTGAATGGACGACCCCTGCCGTAGTAGAACTGACCTCCAGAAGGAACACCACCAAAACTACCGGATCCACGAGGCCCCTTGGCCTCCCTCTTAACTCGCTCCTGGCGGCAGACCGACTCTATCTCCCGAGAAATGTCAACCACCTCTTCAAAAGTAACATCAGACACTCTCTCCCTAGTCATAAGTATCTGCAGCTGATATGCGAGGCCATCAATGAACCTCCAGATCCTCTCCCTATCAGTGGGGACTAGCCAAACCGCATGACGAGCCAACTCAAAAAACCTCATCTCGTACTGCGTCACAGTTGTATCATCCCGACGTAGCTGCTCAAACTGTCTACTCAGCTCCTCTTTGTGAGACCGTGGCACATACTTCTCTAAGAAGAGAATAGAGAACTTCTGCCATGTAAGTGGTGCTGCACCAACTGGCCTACGCCTCTCATAAGCCTCCCACCAGGTGAAGGCAGCTCCAATGAACTAAAAAGTAGTGAATGAGACCCCACCGGTCTCTAGAATACACGCTGTACGGAGAATCCTTTGACATCTGTCCAAGAAATCCTGAGCATCCTCTCCCTCTACACCGCTGAAAGACGGAGGCTGGAGCCTCCCAAACCTCTCCAATCTACGCTGCTCATCATCAGGCATGAAAGGAAACATATAGTCCTGAGCAGCTGCAACCCACTGGGCTGGTGGTGCCCCTAGTATTTGGAGTCCCTGCACCACCTGCTCGGGTGTGCGGGCGGCGGGAGTCTGAGTGCCTTCCCCGGCCTGAGAAGTGACTGTTGTAGTAGAAATAGAGACCGCCTGAGCAAGACTGGTGTACATAGTCAAAATCTGAGCTAAGGCCTCCTGAAGGCCTAGGATCACGATTAGGCACAGCTAGTGCCTGAGCTGGTCCCGCTGGTGCATATACAACTGGGACTTGATCATGAACAAAATGGGTGGATCTGCAGGTGCCGCCCCTGCTGCTGTGAGGGCTGCACCCCTGCCCCTACTACGACCTCTATCGCGACCTCGGCCCCTCGTGGCCCTGACTGGTGGTAATGGTGGCAGTCTGTCCTGCCCGATAGCACGTGTCCTCACCATCTCTGAGAGAATAGAATACCAGAAGCTTAGTTACCAGAATCAACATATTCGCACGATAAGAATTCAAGAATGTGAAGCTTCCTAAGGGTTCCACAGCCTTTCGAAGATAAGTACAGACGTCTCCGTACCGATCCGCAAGACTCTACTAAACCTGCTCATGTCTCGTGAGACCTATGTAACCTAGGCTCTGATACCAACTTGTCTCGACCCAAATCCTAACCTGTCGTGATGGAGCCTATCGATGATACTAGGCAGGCCGACGTTTAAAAATCACTTCCAAAATTGCACTGAAGGTAAATAAAAAATTCGTAAATTAAGTAGAGTTTTCGAAAAATTGAGTTAAATCTCAAAACACAAGTACATAATAATAGCCCCAACATCGGGGTGTCACTAAGTCATGAGTATCTAAACATAACCGGTCCGAAAATAACACAACTAACATAGTATGGAATCCAAAATACAACGAAAGGAGAGATATGGAAGAAGAAAGCAAGGCAGTGAACGCCGAGCAGCTACCTCGCTATCTCCAATAATCAGCTACGAGAACTATCAACACCCTTCGCGTCCAAAAACTCCTGGATCTGCACACAAGGTGCAGGGAGTACTGTGAGTATTTCCAACTCAGTAAGTAATAGAAATAAACAAGGAACTGAGAAGCAATGACGAGTTATACAAGTACAATTCATTTCAGAAATTTCAGTAAAGAATAGGCATGCTTTCAATCCAGAGATTTAAGTCAAATCAGTTTGTTTATGTCAAGTACAAGTAAAAACCGTATAAAATATCTTTCAGAAGTTTTCAAAACAATGATATAGGGCAATTGTGTGCATTAAATATGAAATATACAGCCTCTCAAGCAACTATTACTTAGTCGTCCCATTCACTACAACCTCACAATCACTCATTCCTCATAGTCACTCATTCCTCACAATCGCTCAGCACTCGGTACTCGGCACTCGCACTTAGTAGGTACCTGCGCTCACTAGGGGTGTGTACAGACTCCGTAGGGGCTCCTACATCCCAAGCGTTATATCAAGCCAATCATGGCAAAATTAATGAAACATGATGTGGCGTGCATCCCGATCCCATAAATATCCTCACAATAAGGCCCTCGGCCTCACTCAATCATCAATCTCTCCAGTCTCTCGGGCTCTCAGAAATCAGGAAAATCAGCCCAAACAGCAATAAGATGATGCATCAAATAGAATAACGGAGACTGAGATATGATATGTGAGTAAAAACTGCAACTAAGTAGAAATAGCATTTAGCAGGCAATACAACATGTAACGCGGCCTCTGTGGGACCCAACAGTACCAACACATAGCCTAAACATGGTTTCTAACATGACTTACAGTCAATTTCTATAACACATAGAGAGCATATAGCTGACAGCAAGTTGTTCAACTTTACAGTTTCTGCATGACGGACTAAGTCACAATCTCTATCGGTGCACGTCCACATGCCCGTCACCTAGTATGTGTGTTACCTCCAAAATAATCACATGACACAAAAATTCGGGGTTTCTTACCCTCAAAACCTAAATTATAACTTTTACTTACCTCAATCCGAGCAAATCTTTACTCCGCAATGCCTTTGCCTCTCAAATCGGTCTCCAAACGTCCCGAATATAGCCACAAACAGTACAATACAATTAATATAGGCCAAAGTGATCAATTCCATAAGAAAATTACTAAACTAGAGCCAAAATCCGAAATCGGCTCAAACCCGGCCCCCGGGCCCACGTCTCAATTCCCGTTTTTTATATGTTCTGCCCAGGCTTTTCGCACCTCCGACTCAATTTCCGCATCTGCAGAGCCGTATCTTCGGACAAAGATCCGCCTCTGCAGAAAACCACTTAAACACTACCTCCGCTTATGTGATCAAGAGACCGTATCTGCGCTCATCACAAGTGCGGCAGTCTTATCGCACCCGCACCCTAAAGACCGCTTCTGCGACCATCGCAGGTGCAGGAATTCCATTGCACCTGTGCCTTCTACCCAACTCTTTTGTCACATCTGTGGCCTTTTCCTCGCACCTGCGGTTCCCACTTCGCAGGTGTGGTTACACAGAAGCAGCAATACTTCAGCTGCATTCTTCAACTTAAACTCAAGCAGCTAACCACCCGAAATCAACCCGATGCCCTCGGGACCTCAACCAAACATACCAACAAGTCCTAAATCATCATGTGAACTTAATCGAATCCTCAAATCACCTCAAACAACATCAAAAACACGAATTACACATGGATTCAAGCCTAATGAACTTCAAAACTTTCAAATTCTACAAACGACGTCAAAACCTATCAAACCACGTCCGACTGACCTCAAATTTTGCACACAAGTCATAAATGACACCACGGTCTAAGTCCAACTTTTGGAAATCCAATCTGACCCCGATATAAAAAAGTCCACTCCCGGTCCAACTTTTCAAAATTCCAGCTTTCGACATTTCAAGCCTAATTCCACTACGGACCTCCAAAACACAATCCGTACGCGCTCCTAAGTTCACCTAACGGAGCTAACGGAACCATCAAAAATCAAATCCGAGGTCGTTTACACATAAGTCAACATCCGATCAACCTTTCCAACTTGAGCTTTCAATTAAGAGACTATGTGTCTCAATTCACTGCAAAACCACTCTTGACCCAAACCAACTAATCCGGTAAGTCATAGTACAGTTGTAGAACACAAAAAAAGCAGAAAATGGGAGAACGGGGCTACAACTCTCGAAACGACCGGCCGGATCGTTACAAATTAGGTCTAATTTATTTTTATTAAAATTAAATTATTTGAATCTGAGTATATATCTTAATATAAGATATTGTATCTTGATATAGCATCGAATAATTAAGATTACTTATAATATCAATAAATTTTCTTTATTTATAAACTAATCAATATAGAATCCAAATAAATAATTAATAAATAGTATATCTACAAAATGGTAGAGAGAATATTAATTTGCATCATACTGTATATATTATGTTTTGATGAACCATACTCAAAAATCAAGTTGGCTGTCGTGGTGGTCGGCGATGATAATTATAAGGTGATAGTGATAAAGCTGGCCCGTGATAGTAGTAATTGATTGTGGCGGTTGTGCGATGGTTGGTAGTGGTGGAGAAGTTATCGGTTGTGGCTAATGGTAATGGTTGTCGGAATGGAGGTAGTTGGTGGCGATTGATGGTGGAGGTGGTTGGTAGTTTCGTGGTTTTGGTTGATGAGTGTGAAGATAGCTAGTGGTGGAAGTAATCCCTAAGATTGACCTCTTTTCCAAATAAATCGAACCTCGATACTATATTCATTATTAAACCAGTGAAAATAGATCAGAAAGGGAAGCTCGTTAATGGAGGTTAGGGCTTTCGAGAGAGTTCTTCATCCGAGAAAACAAACAAGGAGAGATAATAAAAAATGATTGGCCAACCATTAACAGCTGTGACCTCTTCTATTTATATCTTGCTTATATAGTGTAAAATTGGCTAACCACCAAATGAATGACTATTATGTTATATTATCAAAGAAGAATGGCTAACTAGTACAAAAAGGCTAAGTATAAAATAAATAGCCGGGACAACTTAAGTGTGCTACTTTAGGCCTAAAGTGGTGCAAGATGGTGGCCCAACACCCCCTTCAAGTTGGAGGGGAAACAACCTTCAACTTGCCAAGAAAAGAGTGATGGAGAACACCAGGTAGTGGCTTGGTGAATACATCTGCCAGCTGATCAGGGGTGGGAACATGCGACAACTGGATGAATCCTTCAGTCAATTTACTCCATATGAAGTGATAGTCTACTTCAATATGTTTAGTGCGCTCATGGAATACATGATTTTTTGCAATGTGAATAGCTGCCATATTGTCACAGAAGACAAAGATAAAAAAGGAAACATCAATAGTAAGATCATGCAATAATCTGGATAGCCAAACCAATTCAGCAACAACCTTACTAATAGCTCTATATTCAGCTACAGTGGAAGAAAGAGAAATTACAGGTTGTTTCTTCGACTTCCAGCCAACAAGGCTATCACCCAAGAAAATATAAAAACTAGAAACGGATTTGCGAGCGTCGGGGCAAGCTGCCCAATCACTGTCAGAGTAAGCCTTGATAGAAAAATCAGTAGAGTTAGAGTAGAAAAGACCAAGGTCAAGAGTACCCTTGAGATACCTAAGCAAATGAAGAGCAGAAATCATGTGAGAAAGCCGGGGAGCCTACATAAACTGGTCAGATGCTGAACACTAAAGCAAATATCAGGACACGTGTGAGTCAAGAACAATAACTTCCCCATAAGGCTTCTGTATTTCTCAGGATTAGGTAAAAGATCCCCAACATCAGCTTTAAGTTTCTGATTCAATTCCAGTGGGCTAACAATAGAATGAACATCCAAGTAATCATAGTCTTTGAGTAAATTAGAAGTGAACTTCTTCTGATTCAATACAACACCATCAGGTAGCGACCTCAATACCCAACAAATAATAAAGAAGCCCCAAGTCTTTGATCTTAAATTCAGAATCAAGAAATTGTTTTAAAGCTGAAATATCATGGAAATCATTACTAGTGAAGATGATATCATCAACATAAACAACCAAGATGACTAGATGACCAGGAGACCCTTTTATAAAGAGAGATTAATCATTGAGTCCATGATGAAAATCTTTAGAATAAAGTGCTTGGGACAATTTGGCATACCATTGCCTCGAAGCTTGTCTAAGCCCATAAAGAGAATTTTTCAACTTGCAAGCCAAATGGGCAGAAGAAGAAGGAGATGAAATAGAAAGGCCAAGAGGTAATTTCATACAGACCTCCTCATCCAACTCACCACGAAGAAATGCATTGTTAACGCCAAGTTGAAATAAAGACCAATTCTTCTTAATAGCAACAACAATCAAACATTTGACAGTAAACATCTTCACTACAGGAGAAAATATCTCATTGAAATCCACCCCCTCAATCTGTGTGTCCCCTCTAATAACAAGCCTAGGGGTAATTCAACAATATCCCAAGTGTTAGTAGCTTATATAGCTTCAAACTCTTTTCTCATAGCATCTTGCCAAGTTGGAATAGGGGTTGCCTGAGAATAAGTATATGGCTCAAACTCTACGGGTTGGACAGTAGAACAGAAAAAAGAACTAGGCAGTTTATAGATGTAATCCTTTAGATAAGAGGGATAAGTGTGTGTTTTATCAGATTTTCTAAATGGTGCAACAGAGGTGGCAGGACTGACAGTGGCGGGAAAAGAAGTAAAGGGACAGAATCAAAGAAAGCATCAGTAAGATGAGGAGAAAGTGAAGCATCAGAAGGTGAAGGGTGGTTGTCAGAAGGTGAAAGGTGGTTGTCAGTAGCATTGGGGAAAGATGGAGCATCAGAAAGGAAAGAAGGAGCATCAGAAGGGAAAGAGGCTGAAAGAGGAGAATGGGTGGTAGTAGCAGGAGGTAGAACAGGTTCAGACCAATAGATTGGAAGAGAAGATGAAGTGGTTGACAATGGGGATTTTGACACAACTGGAAGGGAAAAATTAGAAGAGAAAGGGAAGAGTTGTTCATGAAAAATGACATCTCTAGAGACAAAATGCTGCTTTGACTGTAGGTTATACAACTTATAACCTTTCTTTGCAAAAGGATAGCCAAGAAATACACATGGGATAGCTCTAGGTTTCAGTTTGTCTCTATGAGGAATTGGATCAGTAGCAAAACAGAGGCAGCCAAAAGTCCTCAAGTATGAGAGCTAGGTGTCTAGCCAAATAACAACTCATAAGGTGATTTATTCAGTAGTAACCAAGAGAGAAGTCTGTTAATGATGTATGTGGCTCTCAGGAGACAATCTCCCCAAAATCTTATTGGTACTTTGGATTGGAAAAGTAAGGCCCTGGAGGCTTCTATGTTTCTTTTCCACCACACCATTTTGTTGAGGTGTGTGTGGACAGCTGGTTTGGTGAATGATTCCATTTTCAGAAAACAAAGAAACTGCAGCACTGCTATTCTCCAATTCTAGAGCATTATTAGACCTTATGCTTTGAATGGTGACATGAAATTGATTTTGAACCATCAATACAAAGGAATTTTGGATAGGAAAGGCATTCCTTTTGGACCCCATTAAATGAGTCCAAGTGCATCTAGAGAAGTCATCAAAAATGGTAAGGAAATATTTTGAGCCTGAATATGTATAAGTATGATATGGTCCCCAATTGTCAACATGAACAAGTTGAAAAGGCTTAGAACTATGAATAGAACTATCAGCAAAATGGTAATCTAGTTTGTCTAGCCATAGGACAAATAGTACATGGGAAAGACTGTGTAGAGGAAATATCAGAAGAAATTTCAGAAATGCTTTTCATTTTAATAAAAGGAACATGTGCAAGTCAGTGATGCCAAACAATGTCCATTTTGTTCATAGCAGCTTTATTACAAGAGGGGGAAACAATATTTACTATACAACAAAAATGATCAGAAACAGATAGAGATGACAAGTTGTTGCAGGCAGTTGACAAGCAACCTGAGGATGAGAGGTCTTCTCCCACACAAATTTGTACAACCCACTGTCTAGTTTACCAAGATTCAGAGGCTTCTTCAGAGAAAGGCCCTGTATGAGACATGAAAGTCTAGTAAACTGAACTATACAATCAAATTGGTCTGTGATTTTGTGCACGGAGATGAGATTGTGCTTAAAGGAAGGTAGATAAAAGACATTTTGAAGAGTTATGGAAATAGTCAAAACAAAGGAGCCTGTGCAAGTAACTTTTACTTTATAACCATTTGGTAGAGTCACTAAGAAAGGAATAGGTAAAGGTGTAATATTAATGAGATATTCTTTATTAGAAGTCAAATGGTTAGAAGCACCTGAGTCAATTATCCAAGTTAAAGAATCAGATTGGTTTAGAAAAGTAGAGTTGAAATTATATACTACATTCTTAGGCAATAGAGTACCAGCAAAGTTGGCAGAACTCATGATATTGAGTTGAGGTGCAGGATCAGAGACATGGGATTGATGCAATGAGAAAAGCAGTTGAGAGTATTGCTGCATTGCCAGCCCAGACACCACAAAAGCATTTTCAGCAACAGGAGCAATAGAGATTTGATTAGAAGACTCAGAAGCAGAGAAATCAGAGTCCGTCACCATATTAGCAGCTGCCTTTATACCTTTAGTAAACTTGAAGTTAGCAGGAAATCCATGAAGCTTGAAACACTTATCAATTAAGTGTCCAGGCTTCTTGCAACACTTGCAGAAGAGATTAGAGGCCCTGGACTGATTATCAAAGTTCACTCTTTAGTAAACTGTCTCTGCTGCCCCTAGAATTGCATAATCAGTTGGGATTTAGTAGTTTTATTAAGGGAATTCACATTGAAGGAGGATGCTTCAGAGGTAAATTGAGGAGGTGGGTTGACTTGTCTTTGCCTTTCATTTTAAAGAAGAATGTTATAGACATTATCAAGGGATGGTAGAGGTTGCATCATCAACAGATTGCTTCTCACACCAACATAAATCTCATTTATTCCCATGAGTGATGGACTTTGTCCTCCTCTTTCTCCTTTTGGAGACCCTCTTTAGCATCACAATTGCAAGAATTTGCATGGCTGATGTGCATTACTCACAATTCATCCCAAATTCTCTTATGTTTTGTGAAATATGAGGCAATATCAAGGGATCCTTGATAGGTAGAGACAAGTTCCCTTTTCAGTTCAAAAACTTTGGTCCCATTTACACTACCATACCTATTATTTAATTGTTTTCATATACTTTCAGCTCTCTCAGAGTATTGAACACTTTCGGCTATATCTGGTGATAATGAGCTTGTTAACCAAGATATCACCATATTATTACAGTAGGTTTTAGACACGAACCATCCATAAATGCAATTTTGTTCATAGAAGACAACGACACTATCATACTACGTTTTCAACCTCCAAACCCACTCCCTGAAAATGGCACATGGACCAAGGACACACCAGGTAGATCAGACGACAGAAGGAATAGAGGAGATGTAGGGTCAGGAGTGTACGCATAAGAAGAAGTAGAACCAGTCATGATTACAAAAATTTACTCACCAACAAACACTTTACACAGAAATCAGAATCCAACACATGAAAAGGGGAAATGAAAAATACCGGCCTTCTTCGCAACCTAAAAGAAGTAAGGCTTTTATATAGTAGAGAAGCTCCAGCGAAACAATGAAAATCGAGGAAACCTTAGCTCCGAGATAAATCGAGAAAACCCTAGCTTCAACAGAATAGAAATCTCAACCTCCATTCAACACCAGAGAGATTTAGTACAATCTACAACGCAAAGTTGAATTAATCACAGAGAAACAGAGTGTATTCGCCAGAAAACCACAAAAGAATCACAAAATTCCGATGAAGACGAAAAATGGGTGAAATCAAACAGGGGTAACACCGCTCGACGTAGATAAACAAGATCTAACGGATTTCCTGCTCTAATACCATGTCAAACCAGTAAAAATATATCAGAAAAGGGAAGCTTGTTAACGGAGATTAGGGCTTTCTAGAGAGTTCTTCATCAGAGAAAACAAACGAGGAGAGATAATAAAAAATGGCTGGCCAACCATTAACTGATGTTATCTTGCTTATACAGTATAAAATTGGCTAATCACTAAATGAATGACTACTATGCTATATTATCAAAGAATGGCTAACTAGTACAAAAAGGCTAGGTATAAAATAAATAGCCGGGCCAAGTTAAGTGTGCTGCTTTGGGCCTGAAATGGTGCAAGCTGGTGGCCCAACATTCATAAAAAAGATATGGTCATCTCTCTAGGTTGCACAACCCCTTTAGATCGTTCTACTCATGCTTGAAAAATAACCCCATTACTTCTTTTAATGGACATTCTTAGTCGTCCTTCGAGGATTAACACCTCATAAATCAAATCGTGAACTCTTTCACAGGTATCCTTAGTTTCACTTAGTTTCCAGCAGTGATTGTGTGGTGATGGTTGGCAGCAGTGATGGTTAGTGATTGTAATAAATAGAGAGGTGACAAGGCTACATTTACATAAACTTTTAAGCAAATGTACTAATGATATCAAGACAAAGATCCTAACAATTTAGATTTATTAAGAACTAATAAGTGATAATGAAAGGAAAAAATAAATGACACTTAGTAAGCTGATATATGAATGGTTCAAACTCAAAATATCCATTAAATGCAAACAAAAAAGACCTTAAACATATATGGGTTGTTGAAAGGGGGAGCGGATCAATACCTTGGAAGAAAAGCTAGCATAAACATCAATCGAGTTAAACATGCCAAAACCACGAGTATAATTGCTACAACTTAATTCCTAATTTGAGTGGACTTCCTTAATGTTGCGCCCCCTTTTTCTCGCGAAATCGGGTTCCGACAAGTAACAACTCTTTTAAGGAAGGTGTTAAATGAAAGAGTCGCCACATAACGGGTTTAAGGTGTGTTAGGACACCTATTTGCAGATAACTCTGTTTGACTAGTTTGCGTCACGAAAGATCGGGTAAGGGCTCAAAATTACCTCGAAAAGAAGGTGTTAGGCACTATTCGAGGTCCACAACTTTGGTTCATGGCCGAACTCGAATTATATGAATTAGTCTATGTGATCGAATAAACGAAGAGAGAGCACAAAAATTTAAGAAATTTATTATAAATAGATTTTGAACAAACAGTACAATTATTTTGATTCTAATAGGAAAAGAAAGAAAATAGGGGGGGGGGGGGTTCCTAAGTTTTTTAGCCTAAAGGATCACCCCGTGCAACATAAATAATACTTCGTAACTCCCTCCAGATGGGGTGTTACTCGTATTATTCAGCGGACACAGACTATCATCCCCTGCTACCCGATTACTATCTTTTAGTTTTTACCTAAAGTGTACTAGTTCAATTATAACTCGTGCCCTATGCGTGCACTACCCATCCCATGCCTACGGTCCAGGAGGCTTTGGACCTCTATTTGGGTAGTTCTAGACTCTACTTAGGCTGCTAAAAAATGATAAAACTAGGCGACATACAAAAACAAGTTGGACTTCATGTAAAGGAAATTAAGGGCTCAAGTTAGCCTCCACACACAAACAAACAAATGCACGCAAACAAATTAGGAATTTGACAGTTTCAGAATTGAGACGAGTTAAAATCATTAAACCCTATAGGCATGATTTCTATGTGACCTCGGAATTCAAACACGCAGGCAGTTTCATATACGAGGTGCTATTTTAGAAGCATGTTTTTCGAATAACTATATATTTTAGGGAAATCTAGTGTTGCGTACTGATTACCAAAATTATAGATTATAAGTGTTCAAGCCTATAGACATAATATCTAGGTGCAGTAGTTGACAGTGATAACCATGGGAGACATTCAGTATTACTTAATCTGGTCCTATAGGCATGCTTTCTAAAGGTTGACAGTTTGAGTTAATTTTATACATATTTAGCTCCTATAGGCATGCTTTCTAAAGGTTGACAGTTTGAGCTGATTTTATATATATTTAGCTCCTATAGGCATGCAACAACGAATTTAAGTAATTAAAATCCTATAGGCAAGATATATTGAGCGTGGTGCAGATTGAAAGGGGTGTTATTAGCATTCATTCCTTATAGGCATAATATCTAATAATCGGACAAAAGTAGATATAAGAGCAGGTAAAATATCTAGTCCAACGATCATGCTTTTGAACAATGTGCAGGTATCAGGCAAGTTGAGTGAAGTGTGTGTTTTCCTATAGGCATGGTTTCTAAGTTGACAAAGCAGATATTATACATCCTATAGGCATGCTTTCTAGTGAATAACTGAGTAGTCATGCAAAGTGCTCGCTTCATGCTATCTATAACCACGCAACAGTGGACATAGCGTCTGAATAGTAAACAAGTAGGGTATGTGTGCTTCTCCTAATATCATGATTTCTATAGGGCTCATGTAATCGAACAACACGTATAGCAAACATATTGTCAAGTCCTATAGGCATGTTATCTACCCATGGCATGTTGACTTAGAATTCTACCCATTCCCTTTTCACTGACACCCCAATTGTTTATACAAAGTACTATTATAGACCCAGATTAACAAGTAAAATAGTAATATTACATGGCAATAGACAGGCCTATAGCAGGCCCAAATACACAACTAAATACCCAGCCTTACTGGGCCTTCAACATCATATCCAACAGGCTTCAACATAGCCCAGAAGTCATAGCCAATTAAATCCAGAAAATGATCTCCATTTACACACAGAATAGCCAAAACCCAGTAGCCAAAGCTGATCAACAGTCCCAGAAAGACAACCATTTACACAAGCCCATTGGCTTGTCCAGTAGGTGGAAAAGGGTGCATAGTTGAGCAATTAGGAAAAATGGCAAAGAACCTTGGACCCTAGTGCATCAGAGTTTCCAAGGGCTTCCAGAACCCAGGGCAGTGCTCAAACTAGGGAGGTTGATAGAGGAGACTAAAGGGAAGGGCTTTGGCTTTCAGCGAACCCCAAAATTAAACTCATGACAGGAAACAACTAGTGAAAATAATACTAACGTAATAGGTTTTTTAAAAGCATTTTCAAACTTACAAGATAATCACATAATGAACATAAACTAGCAGATTGGCAGGGTAACATATGACAAAAGACAAAGAATCTAGGATTGCAAAGTTAACGGGCAAGGCATTAGACCAATAAAACCAAATGATGCAACCAATTTAGAACTTAGAGGATCAAATTATACCAAACTCAAGATTAATAGTATAATACAAACAGGATCAGTTATCATAGAGAGCATTAGTTAATCACAATCTGCAGAAACTCATACAACCAAAATATTAGAGCCCCAAAATTAACATGTAAGATGATACAGAGTCTAGAGATGAGAGATCACAAAATGCAAATTACAGTAGACTATTCTCATGTGTCACATCAAAGTTGAACACCATCATAGTTGAATCAAAGTTCAGATACATATGCAGGAAAGAATTTAAACATTATGAGAGTTTAAATACTAACCAGTAGCAAGATTAAAAGAGTGCAGAGTGTAGAAGCAAAAACCCCAAATCCTGATACTCTAGAGTTCACAAGAGCCTCGAGAATGGGCTCTGAGCAGTGCTTGCACCGGAGGAGGTTATTCAATAGTTTCAGCGAGTTTGAAAGTAATAGTGAGTGAATGAGGGAGTAGTGAGAAACAGTAGTCAGACTCCTCGGTCTCAAAATCTCTTCTGAGAGGGGTTTATATAGTAGAAATCAAACAAGTAAACATGGAAACAAAATATTCAATCACAAATAGGGAAAGATATAGTAGAATCAATCAGAATCAATATTAGGGCATCTAACACATAGAATAAGGAAGTTCAGTGATTTAAACAAGGGACAAAAAGTGACATGCGAGAATCAAGTGGTACTCAAAATAAGAAAATACAATAGGTTCAACAGAGAATAAGGAAAATAGCATATGAAAATCAATTAGAGTTTGTTTTAAGGTAAGTATAATCGAAAATAGGGAAAATAAAACGGGTTAAGCAAAAAAATAAGGAAAATATAAGTCAAACCAAGAAAGGAAAGAGTATCAATTAGAATTTAGTAAAGAATAAGGGAAAATCTCAAACCCTAGTTGAGACTGACGCCTTGAATCGGACAAAAAACGCAAGGACCGCTCAATATTACATGTATAGAGACGAGAGATCGTCCACATCGTCACAGAATCAAAGTAAATCGGCCCGTTCTTTAGAGGTAGTTCTTGCCAAAAATAGGGAAAGAACTAAGTGATGCCAAAAACATGCATATCATGATAGAGTATCACAAAATAGGTAAGTAGATCATGGATTGATTCCATGTTTGAGCCGGAATAGGAGAGGATTAGGGGTTACGACGGCTAGGGTTTGATAGAGAGAGAAGGGGAGGTTGAGAGAGTTTAAGGGCGGTGGGTGAAGAGGGAATGGGGAATTAGGGTTTGGGATTGGGTAATAAAAGGGTAGGTTAATTGTAGGCCGTTGATCTTGGAGATCAACGGCCAGTATTTCAAAACGGGACTGGGGCGGGTTAAAGAAACGGTACCGACCAGGTTTTTGGGTTAGGGGTCGTTTGGTTTGGGCTGGGGTATTGGGCTGGTGCATTGGGTGATTTTGGGCAGTTTTTGGTCCGAATTTGATTTTTAAAAATGGGCTATTATTTAAATACAAAAAATTTAACAAAATAATTTATAAAAATATTTTGATAAATAAATAAAAATGTTATTTATGCAATACAATGATTAACAATAATAATTTAATATCATAAAAATATAGAAGGCTATTTTGACACAAATAGTATAGATAAAAAGCAATTATACATGAATATAGGCTATTATTGCAAAATTAGGTAAATAGCTTAAAAATGCAAACATAATTATACAAAATAAAGTAAAAATATTATGAAACCTATATGAGGATGCACAATAGTAATTTGAATGATTAAGTCGTCACAAAATAATTTGAAGGAATAATTAATAATTATTCAAGTAATTAAAATGCTGAAAAATCAATTTAAAGCTCTAAAAATTATGGAAAAATATAGAAAATGTCTGTATAGGTTTATGAACTAAATGATGATGCAAATATACTATTTTTAAAGTATATATATAGAATTAAGAATTCTGAGAGAAATTGGGTATCAACAGCTGCCTCTCTTTACCCGGGAATGATAGAAGAATTATCGAGTAAAGAAATGATGGCTGATTTTGAGGATGATTTTATAAATAGAGGCCGAACTCCGGTTCCCAAGTTGCCTACATATCCCTGGTTTTACAGGAATCAGGCCATGTAGTTCTGGATCTAACGGTGAACGAAACCGATGGAGTTGTTATAGGAACATTTGTACATTTCGGAAAAGGTTCTTTTGGGAAGGATAGTATCGAATGGATTTATGCGGAGTTATGAATGTGAATCTAAAACGTAACGGATGTGTTATAGAGCAAGTATCTGAATAGCCATAGAGTAAGAAGCGGAAATTGATGATAGTCGGTTACGTTTAGAACATTTGCAGAATGTGAACGTTATGAACGGAAACCAGAGCGAAGGTTGCTCCCGTTTGAAGAACGATTACTTCCTGGATTACCTACAAAACTTAAAACACGATGCATGCAAATATATATGGATTATTGTGAGAATTTAAATATGATGCAAATTCCCTTTAGACCATGGAGATTGTCTTTGGACGGTGAGGATGATGTCCTTAGACCATGATGTCCCGGGCCATGAATCGTGTGGTAAGGGATTCGCAGGTCATGAAATGATGTTCTGGGCCATGAGAATGGTGCCTCTGAACCATGAAGCCTTTGAATAATAATGTGCAATATTGAGAGATTCTCGGGCCATGGAATGGTGTCTTCCGGCTATGAGGATGATGCCTTCAGACTATGACGCCTTTGGACAAAAATGGCGATGTTTCAGATCATAAAATGCAAATATATGATGCTGGGTCATATAAGGAGTGAAACAAGAAAGAGCTTAGTCTTGCATAAGATTAAGACAGATCTTAGCCCTGGGAAGGCAAAATAGTGCTAGATTTCAAGTAGCGTAGCATTCGGTATTAGGCAAAGAAAGGCGGAGCTTAGCCTTATGCAATTGGGGAGGCAATGCTTAGCCTCATGCAAAGGAGATGAGATAATGCTTAGTCTCGATGCAAGGAAAGGCAGTGCTTAGCCTTATGCAATTGGGGAGGCAATGCTTAGCCTCATGCAGGGAGGAGATAGTGCTTAGTCTCATGCGAGGAAAGGCAGAGCTTAGTCTTATGCAAGGAAAGGTAGTGCTTAGCCTTATGCAAGGAAAGGCAGTGCTTAGCCTTATGCAATTGGGAAGGTAATGCTTAGCCTCATGCAAGGGGAGACACTGCTTAGTCTCATGCGAGGAAAGGCAGAGCTTAGTCTTATACAAGGAAAGGCGGTGCTTAGCCTTATGCAATTGGGGAGGCAATGCTTAGCCTCATGCAAGAAAAGGAGACAGGGCTTAGTCTCATGTAGGGAAAGGCAGTGCTTATCCTTATGCAATTGAGGAGGCAGGGCTTAGCCTCCTGCAAGGAAGGGAGACAATGCTTAGTCTCATGCAATGGAAAGGCAATGCTTAGACTTATGCAATTGAGGAGGCAGATCTTAGCCTCATGCAAGGAAGGGAGACAATGCTTAGTCTCAAGCAAGGAAGAATAATGAGTGATAGCAGAATATTTTCTTATTTGGAGACATGTTTGCGTTTGGCAGCCTTGTCGTTATGAAGATAGTGATTTTGATATATATGTATACTTGCGAATACTCCTTTTATGTTCATTGTGCCTGCATCCGAAGAAAAATTGTGAGTTTTGCGGGGAAGGTTGGTTCATTCCTTCTCCTGCTTGCTTTGCTTTGCTTTGCTCTGGAGATCCTGTTTGAGTTACCCTGGGTAACATCTGGCTGCCATAGAAATAATGTTTTCAAAAAAATATGCAAGCACTTTAATAAATATAGTTATTTAAAAATAGTAGTATGCGATATCAGGTAAATTAGATGAACCAATGACTGTGACACTTTAGAGACATTCTGACCTTTGTACTAGAATTTTGAGGGTCCTCCTCAAAATTCTGTCCCAGTTTAATAGGCGATTCTTTGAATGTTTTGCATATGACGAAGTTGGCTGGACTTGCTCCGGAATTTTGAGGGCCCTCCTCAAAGTTTTGCCCCAATTTCTGACCATGGGGAAAATGAAGATTTTATTAAGATGTGACCGAACCCACAGGGCTGCCTACATATCCCCTCTTAAACGGGAATCAAGTCAAGCATAGTTCAGTTACATCAAATGAAGAAATGCAAACAATCCTAAACATAGTATCTTTTGACTGCGTCTGAATTGATAGGCTTTGGCCAAATTTCTCCGTCCATTTCTGCAAGTATGAGTGCTCCTCCTGTTAGTACCCTGTGAACCATATAAGGCCCTTGCCAATTAGGTGAAAATTTCCCTTTGGCTTCGTCTTGATGCGGAAAGATCCGCTTCGGCACCAGCTGCCCCGGTGCGAACTGTCTGGGTCTGACCATTTTGTTGAAAGCTTTGGACATTCTATTCCGATAAAGTTGACTATGGCATACCGCATTCATTCTTTTCCCGTAAATAAGAGCTAATTGTTCATAACGACTTTGTATGCATCACTGAGTCCTGCTTCTTGTATAATTCTCGAAGAAGGAATTTTGACTTCGACAGGAATGACAACTTCCGTATCGTAGACCAACATGTAGGGAGTTGCTCCGGTTGATCTGCAGACTGTGGTACGATATCCCAATAAGGTAATTGGTAATTTCTCGTGCCATTGCTTGTGGTTGTCTACCATTTTCCTTAGAATTTTCTTGATGTTCTTGTTGGCGGCCTCCACAATTCCATTCATTTGAGGTTTTTATGTTGTGGAATTCTTATGCTTGATTATAAAGGTTTCACACATAGCTTTCATTAAGTCATTGTTGAGGTTAGCGGCGTTGTCGATGATGATCGATTCTGGCACCCCGAATCGGCAAACAATACGATCTCTGACAAAATCTACAATGACTTTCTTAGTTACAGCCTTGTAAGATGCAGCCTCAACCCATTTTGTGAAGTAGTCTATGGCCACTAAAATGAACCTGTGCCCGTCTGAAGCGGCAGGCTTGATCAGACCGATGCCATCCATTCCCCAAGCGGAAAAAGGCCAAGGTGCAATTGTTGCATTGAGTTCATTTGGTGGTACCCGTATCATATCTGCTTGTATTTGACACTGGCGACACTTTTGGACATACCTGATGCAATCCATTTCCATAGTCATCCAAAAATATCCTACTCTCAATATCTTCTTGGCTAAAACGAAAGCGTTCATGTGTGGTCCGCAAGTTCCGGTGTGTATCTCTTCGAGCAGTCTGGAAGCTTCTTTGGCATCGACGCACCATAATAACTCTAGGTCTGGAGTCCTTCTGTAAAGAATTCCTCCACTTTAGAAGAAATGGTTGGATAATCTTCGGAGTATGCGTTTCTGAGTATGATTTGCATGTTCTGGATCCATTTGCCAAGTATTCCTTGATTTCATGGAACCACGGATTCCTATCTGTCTCTTCTTCGACATGAGCGCAATAAGCTGGTTGATTATGAATTCTCACTGGAATAGGGTCGATGAATTCTTGTCTGGGTGCTGTATCATAGAGGACAAAGTGGCCAGTGCGTCTACGAACTCATTCTGTATTCTCGGAACATGTTTGAACTCTATCTTTGTGAACCTCTTCATCAACTCCTGCACATGATATAGATATGGTAGTATTTTGGTATGCTTTGTAGCTCATTCTCCTAGAACCTGATGTACCAGAAGGTCTGAATCACCAATTACCAACAATTCCTTGATATTCATATCAATGGCCCAATTGAGCCTCAAGATGAAAGCCTTGTATTCTTCCATATTGTTGGTGCATGAAAATCTAAGTTGTGTTGATACCGGATAATGTTGACCTGTCTCTGTCACCAAAACAACTCCAATACCCACTCCTTTGAAATTTGCAGCCCTGTCTAAGAACATTCTCCAACCATCGTAAGTTTCGGTGATATCTTCTCCTACAAATGATACTTCTTCATCGGGAAAATACATTTTCTGTGGTTCGTATTCTCCTCCTACGGGATTTTCTGCGAGATGATCTGCTAAAGTTTGTCCTTTGACTGCTTTCTGAGTCACATAGACAATATCAAATTCACTCAACAGTATCTTCCATTTTGCTAGTTTCCCTGTAGGCATGGGTTTTTAGGAAATGTATTTTAGAGGATCCATCCTTGATATGAGATATGTAGTGTAGGCACAAAAGTAATGCCTCAATTTCTGAGTTATCCACGTCAGGGCGCAGTAGGTACGTTCCAGCAAAGAATACCGTTCTTTGTAGGGTGTGAACTTCTTACTCAGATAATATATGGCATGTTCCTTTCTTCCTGTCTCGTCGTGTTGTCCCAAGACACAACCGAAAGCTTCATCCGGTACGGACAGATAGAGTAGCAAAGCTCTACCAGGTTCCACCGGGACCAGGACTGGTGGTGTGGACAGGTATTCCTTGATTTTGTCGAAAGCTTTTTGACATTCTTCAGTCCAACTTGTTGCAGCATCTTTCTTCAGCATTTTGAAAATCGGCTCACAGATCACGGCCGATCGTGCTATGACGTGGCTGATGTAATTGGACGCCCCAAGAAGCTCATTACATCTTTCTTGTTCTTTGGCAGTGGCAAATCCTGGATAGCTTTGACCTTTTACAGGTCTAGTTCAATCCCTCGACGACTGACGATGAAGCCTAGCAATTTTCCAACAGGGACTCCGAAGGCACACTTTGCAGGATTCAGTTTCAGATTGTACCTTCGACGCTGATTAAAGAATTTCCTCAAGTCTGCTATATGACCCGCACTTCTTCTTTATTTGATGATAACGTCATCCACGTACACCTCTATTTCTTTGTGAATCATGTCATGGTAAATAGTCGTCATAGCTCTCATATAAGTGGCTCCAGCATTCTTCAGGCCAAACGACATCATTTGTAATAATACATCCCCCACGGAGTGATAAAGGCTGTTTTCTCGGCATCTTCTTCATCCATCCAGATATGATGATATCTCGCGAAGCAATCCACAAAGGATTAGAGTTCATGCTTGGCACAGTTTTCGATCAGTATGTGTATATTAGGCAGCGGGAAATCATCTTTGGGACTTGCTCTATTTAAATCCCGATAGTCGACACATACTCTGACCTTCCCATCCTTCTTCGGAACTGGCACAACGTTAGCGAACCAAGTAGGGTATTCGACCACTCTGAGAACCTTAGCTTTGATCTGCTTGGTGAATTCCTTTTTGATTTTGAGACTCATATTCGGCTTGAACTTTCTGAGTTTCTGCTTTACAGGCAGACACATCGGATTGGTAGGTAGTGTATGAGCCACTATAGATATGCTCAAACCAGTCATATCATGATAAGACCATGCAAAGATATCTTCATATTCTTTCAGGAGACGGGTGTACTCTTCTTTCTCTGATGGTGACAGGTGAATGCTTATGCGAGTTTCTTTGACTGTTTCAAAATCTCCCAAATTGACTATCTTGATTTCGTCCAAATTGGACTTAGGCTTATTCTCAAAATTTTCCACCTCTTTGACAATTTACTCAAGTATTATATCTTTTTCTTCTACTTCCTCTAAATCACTATCCTTATGTTGCATTGTCTCATTACATGTCACGGTCGTCGGTTCATCTGGATAAGTAATAATAATGCTAGGAACTCGACGGGCCCAGGACGGTGTAGCAATCCAGTTCTTGAGAACAGTTCCCTTTCCCACGGTCTTAATTGTAAGGTCTTCCTCCTCCTCCTCCTTAACTATTGCATTGCAATCCATGTCTTCATCGTCCAAAAATAGATTCCTCAGGCCAGCTAAAGCCTCATCTTCTTTAGATCCCCATATCACAACAGTCTGTTGAAATGTCTGGTGCACATGCGGTATTGGCTGTTCAAGAGGGTAATAAGGACCGCGCCATGATGGCGACTAATTCTGATACTCGTGCCAGATGTATTCATACCCAAGCCCAGAAGTTGTGTCGTGACGCTTTAGCTGTATCGGTTTGGTGATCCCTTGGAGATTCTTGCCGAGACCCTTGCCGGGTTCATACCCTGTCCATGACAATATGCATTCAATCTTATTACTTCACCATTTGTCTTTCTTAATTGCATTGACGCGCTCAATGGGATGGTATGTTTCTCCACCCAACTTCCTTCTATTTTCGACAACCAGAACAGTTTGATTGGTATAAATGGGATTACTCCCATCCCCGTGGATGATTACTTCCTGATGGTTCCATTCAAACTTTACGGCCTGGTGTAGAGTGGAGGCTACAACCCCAACAGCATGTATCCAAGGTCGTCCCAATAGCAAATTGTATGTGATGGATATGTCCAATACTTGAAATTCAACGTCAAACCAAGTCCAGGCCCATTTGCAAACATAGGTTGATCTCCCCAATTGTGGACCTTTGGGACCCATCGGATGCTTTCACATTCATAGTTCTTGCTCGTATCTCATGCAAACCTTTACCCAACCTCTTCAAAGTAGTCAACGGAAAAATGCTGAGACTCGAACCCCCATCTATTCGGAATATGGCAATGAATTTGTCCTCAAACTGTACCATGATATGCAATGCTCTGTTGTGACTCAGTCCTTCGAGCGGCAATTCGTCGTCGTGAAAAGTGATCTTGTAGCTTTCTAATACTTGCCCTACCATATTAGCCATTTCTCCACTAATGATATTATTGGATACATAGGCTTCGTTCAACACTTTTATCAATGCATTCCTATGCGCCTGAGAATTCTGTAGTAGCAATAGAATGGATATCTGAGCAGGGGTTTTGTTCAGATGATCAACCACAGAATACTCTCTTGCTTGCACCTTTCTCCAAAGATCGTATGGGCCAGTTTCAATGATAGGCTGCTCAGGAGAGGCTTCTTTACTTGTTCCTCCCAAATGCTCGGGCGTGTAAACCCTGCCAGTCCTGGACATACCTTGTGGTGCACCGGTTTCTTCCATCCTCCCCTTTCCTTTCCTTCTCGCCTCTGCAGCATAGTCCTAAGGTATAGCTTTAGAGTGATAAGAGGGGTTAGGTGCTACCGTCACAGTGAAGGGTGTGGTTACTTCCACTTCAAACGGGGTTGGTGCGACTGAGGGCGTTGTTGCCTTAACCTCAAATGGAGTTGGCATGGCTATTTCAACCTCAATCGATGACTGAATCTGCATTATAATAGGTGTGAGAGTGACTGGAAGTATTTTAGGTTCATCCCCTTCATGAATGAGTCCAATTGATCCTTCCGGATCCCATTATTCATCAGTTTCGATCACATTTACCCCCTCGCCCCTGTGATCTAGGAGAGGATTGTTGTGGACATTAGGTGCGGCCTCTTTTGCTTGTATAACCCTTGTGTCAATTAGCGTCTGGATCTTATCCTTCAAAGTGCGACATTCATCAATAGTATGACCACATGTCTTGTTTGGATTAACCCACTGGGAGGAGTTTTCCATGGCAAGGGCGGGAATAGGAGTGACATAAACGGCAACCTTCAGTCTCTCATACAACTGATCGATGTGATCAGTAATAGGTAGGTGGCAGCAGGTTGTTGGTATCTAGGGGGTGAAGGCTGATATATGAGTGGAGGTGTTTGGTATGTAAGAGGAGACTTCGGACCTTAGGCTACCATCAGTGCACCAACTTCTTTCTTCTTAGAGATACCTCCCGACTGCAAGGCTTTGTTTGTAGCCAGTAGTGCCTCAAAATTTGTCACCATTCTGCTTTTATTTCCTTCCTCTATTCTTTCTCCCAGTTTGATGATATCGGAGAACTTATGGTTTTCAATAAGCATCAACCTTTCATTGTATTGTGGGTCTTGGGCTCGGACAAAGAACTTCTTCATCTGTTCTTCTTTCAGTGTTGGCCTTACTTTAGCAGCTTCTGATCTCCATCGAGTAGCACACTCGCGGAAAGTTTTTGTTGGCTTCTTCTTAAGATTCTGGATATAGGAGACTGTATTGAACTTGAACCGATCCATAAAATCTGATGCCATGCTTACCCAGTTAACCCATTTCTTCGGGTTTTGACTGATGTACCAGGACAGGGCGTCTCCAGTGAGGCTCCTCATGAACAGCTTCATGAGCACTCTTTCATCTCTACCAACCCCTACGAGCTTGTCACAATATGTTCTCAAGTGTACCTTTGGATCAACTGTCTTGTCGAACATTTCAAGCTTAGGAGGTTTGTAACCCTCTGGTAGCTCTACGTCCGGCTGAATACACAAATCCTCATAATTCAAACCTTCGATGCCTTTGCCACCTTCAACACCTTGGACTCGACTAGTAAGTTTCTTGAGTTCTTCCGCCATGTTCTTGATAAGAAAGTCCTTCTCGGCGGATTCAGGTATGTATAGGGTTTGTTGTGGAGTGTGGGTAAGGTTTCCACGTATATAGGGTTGCTTTGATGGACTCCCGGAATTTGGGCATAGTGGTGGTCGTTGGTTGAGTTTTGTGGATCAGGGGTAGGTTGTGGTGCATTTTGAGGAGTGTGGTAGGTGGGTGGTTTGTGATACTGAGTCGGATGGTGGTGATGTTGTGAAGGGGTCGGTACTGGTGGAGGATTAGAATTTTGAGAAGGTGTAGTATACTGATGAGGTACGGGAGGATTTTGTTTGTTTTGTGTGTTATGAGGAGGTGTCGGATTTTGAGCGTTTTGTTGGTTGACTGATAAGTTGGTATTTTACCAACTTATCTCCTCTTAATATTTAAACTTTTGCATAATTTTGGTAGGAAACTAGGACATTTTCTGAGGTTTATTGGCAATTTTCAGGTGTCATGTGATTTGGAGAAGAAACAGAAGAAACCAAGTCAAAATGTGCAAAAATGGTGAAAATAAACTGCTTCCAAATACCCTTCGCGATCGCAAACATAGGAACGCGATCGCATTAGGCTGAGCAAATATGTATCGCGATCGTGTGGCTGATTCCGCGAACGCGATGAAGAAAGTAGCAAATGCCCAGGAAATGTTCTACACGAACGCAGGATCCTTTACGCGATCGCAGTAGTCATCATATTCACTCTCCGCGATCGTAATCCTTGTTACGCGATCGCGATTCATTAAAACTGGGCGAAATCTGGGCAGAAATGGAATTTCTCGTTTTTGATCCCCAAACCATTTAATACCCGACTTAGCTCATTTGTAAGATATCTTTGGGAATATCTGGACATCTTTAGCATATTTGAGTTCTTAGACTTAGAGAGAACAAGGTGGAAGCTAGGGTTTTGCACACACACTTGGGTCTTGAAGATTTGAAGCTTGTGGTTAAGGATTTCTTACCTATTTATGTTTATTTCTTCATTTCCTTGCTTTCTATTGTATATCTAAGTGTGTAGTATTTTATCCAACACTTGAATCTAGTTTATGGAAATATTCTTGTTTAAAGTGTGGATTAAATACCTTGTTGTGCTTATGTATTGAATGATTTTTATCCTTTTATGAAGTGAGTTATTGTTTCTTTAATTATTCTTGTTCTTTAATGTTTCCAAAGGGATTAGCTAACCCTAGGACTCGCCCATTAACTCCGAATTAATTTTGGAAAAGATAATTTGGGGTTGGGAAAGATTAATTAACAAGAACTTGAGGCGTTAACCCTCATTTTATAGATTCTACCTAGGGATAGGATTGAACTACTTGTAGCCATATCCGGGAGTGCTTAATCTCTTAATTGTTTTAGGGATAATTCAATTAGGAAGTCTTGTTAGTCTTCGGAAGAAGCTAATTAGCCGTGGCTAATTAACATAAACTCGCTCATATTTGTAAAATCGTGAAATACATTGGATCGTTACTTGAGTGTAATTCCCGATGCATTCATCCTTGTAGCCATTGATCATTTTACTTGCTTTCTAGGTTAGTTTAAATTTTCGCATTTAGTTATAAACATTTTCCAAAAACCAAATTCTTTGTGTTTGGCATTGCACGATAAGTGATAATTCTCTTACATTCCTAATCGCCTACATATTGTTCTCAGTGGGATCGACCCCGGCTCATAGTTGGGTAAATTATATTGCATGCGACCGTGTCCATTTACTTTTTAGTAGTGGATTTGGACTTCACCAAAATTGGCGCCGTTGCCGGGGAACAATTTGGCGTAATTTAGGTTGTTTGAGAAATAAGCGTAAGTGCTTTGGTCCAAACTTGTGAATATTTGTGTAATTATTTTTCTTACCTTGGTTTATTTTTCTTGTTTGTTTCTTGTTTATTTTTCTTATTTTTGAAAAATGGCATCATGTAATGAAAATCGGTCGGATGGTAGTTGTTCATACTTTGATGACCCTTGTCCTTATTGTGGAGGACCACACTCGTGGCAAAATTGTTTAAATTCTCCCGGGGGTGGATTGTGCGCACAATCTCAAACCCATGAGTGGAGTATTTGTGATAAGTGTGGTTTTCAAAATGGTCATTGGGATGATTGTGCTTATTTGTCCTTCCCTTCCCCAAGCCCCCGCTATGATGATTCTACTTTTTGTGATGAAAATTATAGGGCTATGGAAGTGGAAGAAGTTGAGCATGGTCGAAATGGAGAGTTCAAGCTCATGTTCGAGTGCTTACTTGAAGGAGAAAACAAAGAACAACGTGCCTTGGAGGAGCTTTTGGAGAATAGTCTCCAAAATGACTTGGCACTTTCAAGGTTGCACTCACAAATGGGAGAAATTCTTGAAACTTTAGAGGTTCAAAAAGCCTCGGAAGTTAATGATAGCCAAGAACTTTTCTTAGATGCGGAAGCCGAAAATCCTTCCTTGGCGCTTGATCAAAACAAAGAAGAACTCTCAAATGCTCAAAATGAGAAGATGATGCTCATGTTGGAGACCATTCTTGAAAATGAGGAGAAGCACAACTTTGCACTCAAGGACTTGAAACAAGGCTTGACTCACAATGATGTACATATCCGCGCTTTGGAAGCTCAAATGAAAATATTGGTTGAGGCTCACTATGCCCACCAACTTGAGAGTGTGGAAGAAAGCCAAGAAGAGTCCAATTCCGAGGAAGAAAGTGAGCTTTACTTTGAGGATTCAAGAATTGAACATCTGCCAACCGACTCCATGAGTGTTAATGATGCCGAGAAAAATATGGAATTAGAGTCAACCGGCGTAAATGAAAATCTGGTTGAGATTGACTCTAATCCGGGGGAAAAAGTGGATGTCAAAATACGAGAAAAATTGCAAAGTGAAGGTTTGAAGTCACATTCCAAGCATTTTTCAACATTGGAATTGTGTGGTGATATGGAAGTTGAACTACACGAATCAATGGAGGATTGCGAGGAGGAAAAACTCATACCATACATTTTACAGTTTGAGGGAACAAGAAAGCAAAATGACATCCCTCACATGAGAGCCAAGAAGTGCAAAATGAAGAATTTAAGGCTTGGCTTGATCATCGACTTACCACCCCCCATCGCTCGTGGTCACAAGCTTGATTCCAAGCTAGGTGCCCAGTTCATATCATCCAAATGGCGAGAAAAGTGGTAAAGTTGACGTGTGTAGTTCCACGACGTTAAATGCGACGCTTGGTGGGAGGCAAACCATCATTTTCAAAATTTTTGGTCGTTTTTAAAATTCTTTTTTTAGAATAGCTTATTATATTTTTTCTAACCAATCTGCCAAGTTTCAAAATTTTTGGAGTTGATTTGAGCAGGTCGGGGTGACCGGGCAGCCACAAACCAGTAGCTGCAGAAAATTGCAGAAAAATGCAAAGCATCGCGATCGGAGGAATAGGTACGTGTTCGTATTGAATGAGAACTTTCTTGTGTTTACACGATCGCAGTAATGCTAACGCGATCGCAGCCTTTTGGCCATTTCGTTCTACGCGAACGCACTGTTTTCCACGCGATCGTGATGAATGGTAAGTTTTTAAGTGCAAAACCACTGGAAGGTATCCTCTCACGCCCATTTTCACCCAAACAAAGAACAAAACTCCCCTACTCCCCTAAACCCCTGAATCAGTCCTATCAACTTTGCTTCAATTCCATTGCATCAATCCTTCATTATCCTCCAGGTATGTCAATTCCCACCTCCTTGCTCAGTTTTAATTTCAATTATTATGGTGAATTAGAGGATGGGCAGCCCTATTTTCGAATTTTAGGGCTTGAAGTTTTGTTTACTGTGTAAAAGGTCATTGTTGGGTTCATTTTGTGTGCTTGCTTGCTGTGTGAGTTTGGTTGAGAGTTAGAGTGAAGATCTATGAAATTTTGGGGTAAAAATTCATGATATGGTGGCCTGAAATGGCTGAGTAAAATGAAGCATACCACCTGTTCGATGAAGTGCCTAAGTAAACTGGTACTAGGCGAGGAAGAAGACCCTCGCGATCGCGTAGGTCTATTCCTGCTGAAGGTCTAAAAAGCACATGGCGATCGCGGATAACTTTTTGCGATCGCATAGCGTAAGCTCAGTTGAAGGCCAACTTTTTTCTTCGCGATCGCGTGGACTGATCTGCGATCGCAGGACTTCACACGCTTTCCTTCTTCGCGATCGCGTGCCCCTTTTTGCGATCGCGATTCATTAGCTCCCAGTCAGCAAACCAGTAGCTTCACCAATTTTGTTCCAAAAGCTTTTTAATTTGTTTCTTTGGCCTAATTACCTCTAAATGCAATGATGTAAGTGCCCATATGGTTGTTTGACATGTATACCCTTTTTGTAGGCACTTTGAGCTCTAAAATGGATCCGGCAACAAATGAAAATGTGCAACAATATGCCAAACAAGCTGCTGCAGAGCATTATTTTGATGCTGACACATTCTCATCCCTTAGATGCTCTCAACGCTATGACAAGCAACTATCCAAAAGCATGATTAGGGAAAGAGGCATCCTCCTGACCAACCTTGAAAGCTGATGGCCCGAGTTCCATGGGAGATTAATCACAAGTGGATCGGTTTGCTTTGAAGAAGAGCCCAGGCCAGCCAACCATGAAGTCGTCAGAGAATTTTATGCGAATGCTGTAGAGACGGACTTCAATAATGAGTTGGTGGCTACTGTCAGAGGCAAAGAAGTCCGTTTTAGTC